GGTTCTTGCACCCCTTCCCCGAGTGTCCTCTCCTGGCCCCACTTTTCTGGCTCATCTCACTGAATTTTCATTCCCAATGAATTTTTCCTCTTTGATACTTATTTCTCAGTCCTCAAATCTCATTAAATTCTCTTAGCTGTTGGGCTTTGAATTTATTCCTGCTCGGAGAAGGGCTGTGATCACTCACACATGATTCAGTGGCAATTCAGAAGGAATTCTGTAGTTCATAGACAATCTGGTTAAGGATGGTTTACCAGAATTATTCTGGAGCAAGATTCCCTCTGCAGATAAACAAAGATGACAAACAGAAGATGCTGAATAAATCCACGAAACACACAGAGAAAACAGAAAAATCAGCCATTTTGCTGATTCTAACCCCCTCCCCTCATCCCAATTACACAAATCCACTTACCTGCTGTTCTGTTGGGATTTTGCTCTCGTTTCTTTTTCAGCATATGAAATTTAACTTTAAAATGTAGGTGGACCTGCAATGTTTTCCCCCTTTTGACATGCTTTCAAAAACCTTGTGAATCAGCTGTCATTCCTTTATACCATTTTATACCATTTTTCTTGTAAATCCAATTAACGTGGAAAATCTCCCTTTTCAGTTGTCACTTGTAGCTCCATAGATGGTGTAGAGTCAGATGAAAAAAAGCCTTTTTTTCCAAACCATGCTGCATGGAATATTTGAAAAAGAAAATCTTTTATCATGTTTATCATCTGCTGGTATCACCTAAGAAGTCAGAATTTTTGAAACTTGCAAATATTAGCAAGGCAAAGGCTAGTTTGACTGTGGCTGGAGGGACAATTTAAAAAATTTTGATGGAAATCTTGCCCAAATTGGTGGTTCCTGGGTGTGCCTCCTCAGCAGAGCTGCCAGGCAGGGGTATGATAGTTATATTTCTATATTTATGCCAATATGTTCTCCTGGATAAAAAATTCCTCTTTTCCCTCTCATGTCACTGGGTGAAATTTTGGTTCCTGAGCAGTTTCTCCACACAGGAGTGTAGTGCAGTGTGGGCACAGCTGGGGGATTCACTCTGCTTCTCCAAGCTCATGCTTCCAAATAAATAAAGAAATAAGTTAAAGGGCACCAGGATGAAAACAGCCCATGAAAAATAAGGATGAGCAGGGCATGGGGGCAGGTCTGACTTTCCACAAACAGTTTAATAGTGAATTCTGGCAAATCTCTGGCAATGTCTGCATCGATATTCCTCGTGTTTACAGCCCCATGGAGCAACAGAGGATTTTAGGGAACAGGGCTTGGCAAGCCAGTAATTTTCTGAAGCATCAAGAGAAGGTTCATGCCATTTATAAAATACAGTTGGTTCATTATGATGCAAACAAGACTGAACACTGCAGTTTGCAGGAAAGAATCCCATCAGCTTTCTGAGCCATATTTTGCTCAGGAATTCTGGTTGTGTCTCTCTTAGCAAGGGCCAAACAAAGGAGGAAGGTTCTCTGCTTCCTGCTGCTGTGAGGAAGAGTGTGAAGCTCAGGCTGGTGTGCTCTGCAGGAGCTTTGGCCAAAGAAATCTGATTTGGGGCTTTGAGGTTTCCATGGGCTGGGGCTCAGCTCACTGCATGGAAATCTTCCTCTTGATTCTCAACGGGGTTATCCTCAATTTCTTCTTCTCCCACGCCAGATCCCCCTCACCCTGCAGCATGATCAGGTCAGAAAAACACCTTTTCACTTAGGACAAGAAGTTCCCAAGGGACAAGCTGGAACACAGACACGTATTTGTGCTGTTAAGATATTTAGGCATGAAAAGATGAAACTGAAATCTAGCTCAGCTCCCAAAATCTTTATGGTGCCTCACTCATGGAATCATTTCATAGGTACCTCAATATCTATATATTAGCCTTGAGTGACATCTAAGTCTCTTTAAGATTTTGGTATTTAAATTTCCAGTACTTGGTACTCAACTTATTTCCTATTCTTTGATACTTAAAGCTCGTGGCAGTCAATAAGATATCCATTCTCAGGATCTTTGGTTCCAATGGACTTTCAGTTAAGCACCCAAGGATAGCTCAGAGATGTTGGGTGCATTTCCACCTACTTGTGTGTCTAAATATCACTGTAAATTTTTCTTTCAACCACATTGTAAGAGGAGAACTTAGTGCAAAAACCTCGCCTGCCAGAAATTTTTATTTTGTTTCCAACTGCTTAAACATTGGCATGGCTCTGACAAGGGTTTAAAAAAAGCATTTTGAGCATTGGGATGCAAATTAACATACCAAGCAATTAAAGTCAATTAAAACAGGATGTGGTGTAATTAGAAACAGTTGTGTTCACATTGATATTCAGAGAGGTTCGATGTGTTGAAAGAAAAGAAAACAATTCAGGAAACTTTTAATGCCCAACAGATGCAGTGGTGATGATGATGCTAATAATGGCACTGATTCCTAAATTCCCCATCCTGCCTCACCTCAGGAACTCTTGGGGAGGGGGAGAAAATGGGAATTAATGGCTCTCCCCCAGCACAGTGCACTCTCACCTGTTGAAGAGAAGCTGGAGCTTTTCAGCCTCAGGGGTTGTGTGAGCAATAACCAGCAGTGCTGGTGGCTCGGGAAGAGGGCACCTGTCCACCTTTCCCTCTCCTGCTGCCTTGGTGTCCCGGTGTCTGTATTGGTACTTATTGCCAGAAATGCAATGGTGCTTGATTTTTCTCCCCTTTCTGCATGGCAACCAGAGAGCAGGGAGAGCCCTCATCCCTCTAAACCTGGGGCAGAGCAGCTCTGATGGCCAAAAAATTCCTTCCAGCTTGTGGATGCAGCCCTTGCTGCTGTGGGATTGCACAGATCCTTTACTCCTGGCTGCAGAGGTGAATTGTGCTGGTTTTTCCTCGATGGAGATGAGAGAGGAGATCCTCCCAACACAACCTGGGGAGGACTCTGCCTCTGCCTGGTGATGTTGTTTGCTTGGGTGGGATGTGCAGGGAGCAGAGGATGTGCTGCACAGCAGTGCAGAGAAGGAAGGAAATGCAAGGAAATGTTACAGATGTTCAGGTGCAAGGCCTTCAGTGCCATCAAATGGATGTGTCTGCTGACTACCCTCTGTTAAATGCAGCTCTGGATTTAAAACAAGGAGGAAAAAATAGCTGGCAAAGACTAAATAAATGAAAACTATCAGCTGGCTACTCCATCCTTTCCACCTCATTTAAGGCTCAGAGCAGGACTGTGTCCATCCCGTGGGGTTTTTTTTAATTGTCATTACCTGCTGATCCTTTTTTATTTGAAACCCAGATGTGGAGAGACAAGGTCTGCTTGAACTCAGCCAGTCACAGCAGTTTGCATTCCCACTAATAGTCAACAAATGTAAGCACTGGGATAAAACTTCCCATTTTGCATTGTATTGACCTAGGAATTCATCAGTTCAGGCTTTTGGGACCTATAGGAATAGAATGGTGCTCTCCATTTCCTGGGAAATTCAAATTCCTACCCACCTGCTGAGGCACATAAGATCATTTAATGTTTGGAGTTAAAGAATCTGAAAATCCAATTTCAGTGCATTAATTACAAAAACATGTCTGAGAATCCTTTCACAGGTCCAGTCTTTGATGTATCCCTTTCATTTACATAGGAGACAGACATTGGACTCCTGAGTTTAAAATGAATATTTTTTTGAGGTTGTATTTTTTACCAAATGATTTTTTTTCCATTCTTGCAGCTTAACTAATTTTGAGTGGTACAAGGCAAGTGTAAGAGTAACATCTCACAGGTGAAAATGGCCACAGACAATTATAGAGAGTTAAATTTATAGACAGGTGGTTGTCACATAAAGAAAATACTGATAGTGCTGTGGAATTTATCATTTAATCCTTCATTGTCACATAAAGAAAATACTGATAGTGCCGTGGAATTTATCATTTAATCCTCCATTGAGTCTGAGTAGTCATGTGCTGCTCTCTGGCTTGGGATTGTGAAGCAGGACCCTCTGCTCCATTTTTCCTTTGAAAAATGTGACTTCTTGCAGGTTTCCTGTTGTTCCCCATGCAGAGAACAAACTGATTATGGGGAAAAAAAAGAAGTGTGGCCATGTATGTGAAAGCAGAAATTGCTGGGGTACAGCACACCAGAAATTTCACTTGAAGGTTCTTTGTAAGGGTTCTCTATCAAATCCCTAGGAGATATGGATAGAATTTAACCTTTGGGCTTGGTGAAATGCTTATTCCTGGGCGCCTCGACAAGGCTTACCTAGAACAGAGGCTGGGCAGAGTTAAGAATAAAGCAGGTATTTATTAAAAGGCCTTAAAGGACACACCTTGGGCAGGGCTAGAGCCTGGCCAGGGCTGCACCCAAGATGGACCAAAAATGGTCACAAAATGGATGACTGGTCATGAGGTCTCACATTTTTATAAGTTTAGGTCCATCTGCATATCAGGGTTAATTGTTAATTACAATTTCAGGTTAAATTAATTTAAATTCAGCTGTTAATTACAGCTTCAGGTTATGAATTCCCATCCTTCTTGTTTTCTCTCTTCAGCCCACCATTATTTATGCTTTTGGGCCTGAAACTTGTAATGATTGTCCTTGGTATCAAGCTAGAAAAGGAATTGTTTTGTCTACCTGCTCTGTGAAGAGAGCTCAATAGCACTTAATATGAAGCTTAAAACTACACACCTAGGCACCACAGAATATGAAAAATGTAAATGCTAAAACTTAAGGCATCACCTGAAACCCAGACATGCAGGCAGTGCAGTCTGAAGAGAAATCAGTTTAGTAATTATGGGGTACTGAGAATCCATTGCTTGTATAATTAATTACTTGTTATCAGGAGTACCTGTCTTTGGAAATAATGCACTTACAGAGCAACCTCTATAACAAAGAGCTGACCTCTCCCACAAAACCTAAAGAGTTTAGAAGAGAATACAACCAGAGGACAAAAATCACCTGCACAAAGACATCCAAAAAGCCCTTTTCCTCCAGCAGATTTGAAAGTAGGGTGGTTTTGCTGCAGCTGCAGGAAAATCCTTTTCTGATGTTTCTTTCCTCCCCCAGGTTGTGTATGTAACAGCCACGTTCCCCTACATCATGCTGATGATCCTCCTGATCCGGGGGGTGACGTTACCCGGCGCTTCCGAGGGCATCAAGTTCTACCTTTACCCCGACATCTCCCGCCTCTCTGACCCACAGGTAGGACCATGGGCTGCACCTTTGGGAAAAACTGCAAGGGCTCCTTGGGTTTGGAGTCTGAACACTGCTGGAGACTGCTGGGGAGCTGCTCCTCGGTGAGGATGTGGAATCTGGGGTAGGGCTGTAAAGCCATGCTGTGTGCTGGGACAGATCACTTTTAAATTGGAAAGTACCTCGGTTGATAAATGAGGATTTTCAGAGCCAGTTGCAGTTGGTGCCACTGAGGGACAGGAGTGCTGCCACCGGTTCAATGGGTACAAATTTCACTGGGATTTAGCCATTTTTTGGTTCTCTGCTTGTTCCAAATCTAAATCTCAGGCAGAATTAACAGAGAAATTATGCATTGAAATGATTGCTGTGTTTATAGCAGAACATGCATCTGAAGAGGAATGAAGTGCTCAAACCAGGAAATCTGCCTGTTTTGCTGTTTCCAGTGTAGAGTAGGACATGGAAACAATGGATTAAGTTGTTTGCTTTTTTCTTTTATTTCCAAAGGATTACAATAAAACAGTTATTGTCCATAATATGCATGATATTGAAGGTGGAAAATGACACAATCTCTATAGCACCTGACAGGTTACAGTCAGCATTTTATTGATCTGCTTTGGCACTGTAAAAGACATTACACAGTGTTTCTCCTGAGGCTATTACATTATTAAGTGGATCCTGAGAAGCAGACAGAAAGGAATTTGGGAATATTTGTCAAAATGAATTTTTTTAATCTGCTTACTGAAGATGTGTCAGCATAGTTTTTTAAAATCACTGCCTACTTTAAACATGTATTTTGTTGCAAAAGACAATAGAGGGGCTCCTTCAGGTAATTTCCCTGGAGCATCTGAAATATCTGTAATGTTTGCTTTAAACGAGTAATATTTCTATAGAAAAAAATTAATAAAAAAAAAAAAATGAACCAAAAAACTAACAACAACAACAAAACAAAAACCAAAAAATCCCAAACCAAAAAAACCAAAACCGATCAACCGAAACAAACAAACAAACAAAAAAACCAAACAGAAAAACAGAAAGAAAAAGATTAAAAAATTTATATGAAAACTTGATCACATTGTGTCTTTTGGACTTGTTTGTGTGTTTGGTTTTTTTGACTCTTTTTGACTGTTGTGTGTCAGCATGGATGGAAAGTGGCTCTGGAAGTGGTGTTGGTGCTGGCTGTGGAATCCCAGCTTCACCTTCAGCAGAAGCAGCCTCAGGTCACCTGCAAAATGGGTCCTGGAGCAGAGGGAAGCCCAGGATTCTCTGGCACACTCAGATATTTGTTTGCACATCCCGAGAGGCTCAGTCTGCAGCAATCCAGCCTGGTCCCAGCTGAGCCCCAGACTCCTTTCAGGCAGGCCAGGGAGTTGGCTGTGCTGTGTTTACCTGAGGGCTGGAACTGGCTTGTTGTGTCCAGCTGGAGCTGCTGTTCCAGCCCTGGCTGTGGGGCTGGAGCTCCAGGTGTCCCCTGCCTTCCCCAGCAGCGCTCTGGGTGCCCTGATCTTGTGCCACAGCCTGGGCTTTGCTCCACTTGCCATGTCTGTGAGGAGTCATGGCAGGGTTGGGGTTGGGAGGGATCCTACAATCACCCAGTGCTACCCCTGCCATGGCAGGGACACCTCCCACTGTCCCAGGAGCTCCCAGCCCTGTCCAGCCTGGCCTTGGGCACTTCCAGGGATCCAGGGGCAGCCACAGCTGCTCTGGACACCTGTGCCAGGGCCTCCCACCCTCACAGGGAACAATTCCTGCCCACATCCCATCCAACCCTGCCCTCTGTCAATGTGAAACCATTTCCTCTTGTCCTTTCCCTCCATCCCTTGTCCAAAGTCTCTCTCCAGCTCTCCTGTAGCTCCATCAGGCACTGCAGGGCCAAAACTTGGTCACCCCAAAGCTTCTCCTCTGCAGGCTGGACAGCCCCAGCTCTGCCAGCCCTCCCTCCCAGGAGAACTGAACTCCTCTATGAACAGGGGTCACTCCTGCTGGCTCCTTCCCTTGCCCACTGCTTTTCTAGAGGCTCTTCACAGCATTTTGCCCTGCCTGTGGATTTCTCACGTGCCACTGACACCCTTGCTGGTGTTTGTCACTGAGGGAGGGTAGGTCAGATTAAGGGACGTTATTGCCAGCCTAAGGGACATTATTGCCAGCGGATGGTTTATGTGCCCGTTTACTATCCTGGTGCCACTTGTAAAGAAATCCACTGTTGCCATGACAATTTGCCAAGGCCATGGCTGGTGGGAAGCACAAAGCGCTGGAGACACGTGGGGTGTGTGTTTGTCCCACACATGTGGGGCTGGAATTCCTCTTGGGAATGCTTTTAGGAGCCAGCTCCTCCTCAGGTCCAGGGAGACTTTCACTGATGAGTTCTTGTCCTTCAGTTGTGTGTAAAACACCTTTCAGTAGAAAGAAGCTGGAGTAAAATGTGCCATAACAAAGATGGTGAACACCAACGCAGGTAATTGAATTGTAGCATTCATTGGTTCTAGAGAATTATTTTTGTGCTGAAAAAAACCTGTCATTCTGCCCAAATTGATATATGTGGTTGAGAATAATTAATTCAATGCTTGAAGAAAGCTTTCAGACTAATGGGTGCAATCTCTAGTCACTTCTCAAGAAACAGAGGAAGTTCAGTTCTTCAGACTTAAAACTAGAATTTCTCATAGCTGGTTCTATTTTTAAAATAGCCTTTGGTTCAGTTTTAGTGCAACTTTTAATGGCAATAAGATGGATGTATAGGCATTCTTCTTTTTATGAAAACGTAGAATTTAAAGTTCAAGCCCACAAATATTAGGATAACTTCCCCCACTGCACAAACCCCTTGTCAATTGGTTTTTGCCAAGGAGCACAACTGAAATTACCTGGAGATTGGTGCTTCCAGTTTCTGTCACTCATTTCACTCATTTCAGTGGATTTATTCCCTAATGCCAAAGCAGAAATCATGTGCACCAGCAGAATTTGTTTTCCTCTTCAGTTGCAGGCCTGTTTCAATAATATTTCAGGGAGGGTGCTGGGTCTGCACTGGGAGAGAGCTATTTGAGCCCCACAGCCAGCTGTGTTTACTGGGAATTAAATAAACCAATTTCTCTTCAAGACTCACTTCAGTTTGAAGTTCTCGACTCTTTTGTCTTTGTGCAATTTGCATTCCATGGTGGGTTAAAGCTTTGTGAGCAGCTATTCATCTTTGCAGCTCCTCAGCTTCCAAGGGCTGTGGTCTCCATCTCATTTTTATGTTCTGTCTCTCCAGCAGACCCAGTCCTCTCGCTCTGAAAATGCCATTTTCTGTCCTGAGCGTGTGTAGAGCTCACACCAATCACTTTGTGTTGCATCAGTGGAAGCTGGAACAGTCTGGAGCTCTATTTAAGCCTCAAAAGTGTTTTTCTTTCATCAACAAAAAGGTCTCAATAATCTTCATGCTCAAATTGGCTTGAAATGGATCCCTGTGCCCTAATCTGGGAGATACAGGTGCCATTTATGGCTTAAATAAGGGATCTTTGCTGAGTTATAACTCCCACAAAAGCAGTGCTTCAGCAAGTTAATGGGATTGTTATGGGGTTTGTGTGCAAGCCTGACTCAGAATATGGTTCTGCTTGTCCCTGGACAGATTTAAGGCACTCAATATGTGATTGTGCTTGTGTGTGGTGCTCACTGAGCCTTTCTGGGCAAAACATTTGGTTCTTTGTAAGAGGATTTTGCAAACATTCTTGCCTGGAAGAAGTTTAGGGAGTGGCAGATGTAGCAGTTTGATGGGTCAGGAAGTAACAGTATGGATAATTGTATGGAAAATCACATCAATTTAACCCCTGCTGTAACAGCAGGCTGTTAGAAAGGGGAGGAAAATAAGAATAAAGCTTTCTTGCTTACTGTTTGTACACTAAAAACTGGCCAAGTTGCTGGGTTGTCTTTTGTGTTTTTTTTAATTTTAAAGTTGTGAATGGTTTTAATGAACATATTCACAAGAGAATCTGTCAGCACAGCCAGAGTTGCACACTCCTCTGAACAGCAGATTGCCAAAATCTTGGACAAATTTCCATTTCTCTGTGGCCAGAATACAGGTTGTACCTCATCTCTGCTAAACTCACAAGTGATTGCTGAGCTTGAACGAAGCCACGTTAATCAGGTCCAGGAAAATCAGAGCCATGACAGGTAAATTGATTTTAGGCTTCTCAGCTCTTTTATTTGCAATGGGAAAACGCTAAAATTGCAATAAGATTTGTGGTGGCAGAAACATTTCTGCAATTCCTTGGTAGCTCAGCCAGGAGAATTCACTTTTAGGCAGCTGGGATGTGCAGGTGACGACAGGGATGCCTTCCAGAAGGACTTTTTCCATGAATTTCCTTGGCATTGTGATTTGGCTGACTGGCTTGAAGCCCACTGGATTTTCCTTCTTGAAAATGACTTCCAAAACATGAGTGCACATCAGTGAGCATCAGCCTAACCTGAAAACTCACTTACTCTGGATAGATTTGGTACTGCTGAGATCCCTCTCCTCCTTACATTGACCTCTGGATCAAAAAATGCTTTTTCCTGTGTGGTATTTGGGCTGTTTTCATGAGTGGTTGTAGAAAAAAAGAGCATTTTAGTACATCTCTTTCAGAAAAAACACTTTTTCCTGGTAGAAAGTCACTCTAAAATAAATGCACATCAGTTCTTTTCCCCCTGGAAATTGTAAATTTTCATTACATTTCCTAAGTTTTTGTATAAACATGAGCTTATTGTGATGGTTTTACCCTCTTTAACATATTATTCATCTGTTTCAGCACATAAATAACATTATTTTAAAAAAAAATTCTGCTCACCAAAACTGCAAACGATTGCTTTCCAATTAGTCTAATTCAAATATACACATTGCTGAGAGAAATTTGGGAATGCTGGATCAACGTGGAGGTGATATTTCCTTAAATCCTGATCTGAGAACCCAAAACTGCAAAAACATTTGAGAATATCTCTTCCTTTAACTTTTTATTTCCAAAATTGAGGGAGGCTGAGTTGCTCTAGGAAGAAGAAATAATGCA